TACCTCACTATTTTTTCCCTAATCAATTTGTGATAAATCACAAGTTTTGCATTGGTATCAATTTGCTCAGCTTGCTTCGGTTGTTATTGYGTGTTTGATGGAYRGAAGCCAAAACCCATGTTTTGGGCTGGCASCAAATTTGTTGAGGTCACATAATTATSWAAGGTGCTGTAAAAATAATAAAATTGAATACGACTGAAAGATTCTCTATCCRATTTACAGACTTCTCTTAGGTGACTGATTGCTATTTGTGTTTTTATTCATCAATTAGCCCTGTTAATCATGGAAAAATACATAAACTAGRAGACAAATATGTTTTACAGTTTCCTAATTTCTCTTATAACTAACATAGCTTTTCTTTTTTTCCCCAGAAATTTGACCATCATTGCCCTTGGGTCGATAACTGCATAGGCAAAAGAAATTACCGATACTTCTTTTTATTCGTTCTGTCTCTTTCAATACACCTTACTTCAGTGTTTGCTCTTTCGCTGGTCAATGTTCTGGACATGAACTCAGACATCCGCAAACCAGCAGTCATCATTTCGTATCCTTTTGTTAAACGACAACAGAATGCTCACCTTATCTAAACAATTTTAAAATAATAATAATAACCAATATTATGGTAATAACACCACTAATRTGCCCCCTCTCACTAATGTGACCAGGATTGGAAGCCTGGGTTCATTGTCATATGTGTGTAGAGTTGCTTGTTGGTTCTCTCTTGTGCTTTGAGGGCTTCTCCCTATGTTCCAGTTTTTCTCCCTTCTTTAAAATCACCTCCTAAATTCCAAGTCGACCTTGTGTTGAAAGCTTAAAAATGTGAGCCCCTGGAGACTGAGCAATCACTCGAACAATCGACTTGAAATAAATGTACATTTTTTACCACTTCCCCATTTGATACATAACTAATGGTCCATTGGCGATCAACCAATCAAAACATAMCATTGATGATCCTTAATGCTGCAAGTATTATCATAATGGTGATATGTTGCTTGGCAGCAATCCCAGTATTTGGTCTTACTTTCTTTCACATTGGTCTTGTTGGCATGGGAAGGACAACCAATGAACAGGTAATAATGCATTGTCTTTGAAGTGTGAGCTGTAAAGTTTGAAGTCTCWGAACTAGCATTTTAACAACCTTCAATCAAATAACTGCATTTTTTAAACAATACCTTGAGGGAGATTGTCTGAATAAAAGCTGTTAAGGTGGCTGACTACTTTTCAACATTCGATTTGAGCCTACGATGTGGGCTCAATGACGCTAATTAATCTTCACGATTTTATTGAAGACTCATACAAGTTTTGAACTTTAAGAGGGCAAAACTCTCAAATAATGCATGGGACTCTGTATATATTTTTTATTTTCCGAAATAACAGATAATATCCCATTATTTTTCAAAGTTTAAGACAATTCTGTTTATTAGAACAATGTAAAAATCGTTCTGTTTGTTTTGTGCTAATTTTTTTCTATAATTGCACACTGTATAACCTGAACAAAAAAAGTTTTTTCATTCTCTACAATAGTTTATTAAAACAACTTTTATCAGTATTATATAAATATAGTGTAAGTAACACATTCGAAGAATATTGCTCAGGTAATTTCCTTAAGTTTGGTCTTATGATTTTTTTGTACAGAGCTTGATTTTTACTATCTTTCTTCCAGAATTGTACAAGCATGTCATTCTGGAGTAATTATCTCAAAAACAAGCTCGGGGCTCCTCTTCTTTCTTTGCATTTTTGAAATCAGCATTAAATTTCAGGTCAAAAAAGTTTCAATTTTCTGTTTATTATTTACCAAAGWAGTCAGCCACCTTAAATCCTCTAATCCTCTATTTATCAGAGTTTGTTAGGTGGTATACAAACATTCATTCCCTTGTTAACAGGTAACTGGCAAGTTCCGCAGTGGACATAATCCATTTGATAAAGGCTGTAAAAAAAATTGTAGTTCTGTCTTATGTATCAGCCAGTATCCAARGTAAGTGCAACACAATTTCAATATATCTTGGTAACCCAGGGGTAATAATKAACCTTTTGAGCACTAGCCATCATGTTATATAAATTATGTTGCATTGTGTTGAATGGCAGTAAGAAATGCTCCAATCAAGTTAGAAAAATTATATTTTGTTAATATTTAGAGAGCTAACTAAACAATTAATATTTTGTTTGCTTGGTGACAGTAAGACAATCCAACACAATTTATACCATGTGACGTCTAGYGCTYAAAAGGYGAATTCCTAAGGAATGGCATTAGGACCACAAGATCAATGCTGTTTCTAGGAAAATAAATAARTTGTCCTTGTTTTATATGCCTTTTGGGTGATACTTAATAGCTAGTKGCTAACGAACCTGTGGTTCTCATTCCATGGTCAAATTGGAATTTRGAATTTGATTTTGTGGGAGGGAGAAAAACCAGATAACCTGGAGAAAAGGCCTTAAAGCATAGGAGAGTTTTTTTGAGTTCCTAATTACCTCGGGGGGGGGGGGAGGTACTCTTGCCCATTTAGGGTAGGGATGTGCCAGTGAGCCCACTTAACCCTGACCCTGTTCCAGAGTAAAATCGCTGAAATTCGTACCCTGTTCCATGGCAAGATCGCTGAAAATTGCGAAAATGGATACCCTGATCCAGAGAGCCAGAGCATGATTTCATATACCCTGTCCCAGAGCAAGAGTGATTTTACATACCTTGTTCCAGAGTAGAATCGCTGAAAACCATACCCTGTTTGGTGGCACGTACCTGTATAGTGAATATAGGGGAGTACCCCCCCCCCCCCGGGCAAATTACTTCTGTGTTACTCAGGGTTCACATTACTGTACAGCCCATTTCATGACATTTTCTGCAACCTAACAGACGCCAGACATCTAGCATTTTGGCCAACATCAATTAAATTTTGGATTTCCCATATGGAAAAATGCCTGTCAAGTCACAGGAATATTTTACATGTATCACAGGCAATTGGTACGACTAGGGATGCACTCTGCCCATYGAAATTTGATTGAYAGAAGCCAAAACATCAGTGGTCTGAAGTCAGTTAGGTCACAGGACYGTGAAACAGCCTGTAATAGAGATGCTCATTTTTTTTACCAATTTAGATATTTAGGATTTAAAGAGAAGTATCAAAAGCGACAAAAGAAGAAGGCTAGGTCAAATAAAAAGACTACAGGACCAGAAGAAACAGAATTATCTGATGTGAGGATACAAGTAGCTAGAGATGGACCAAAGGTAGTCTCAAAATCTGTTTCTATGAATTTTATTTTCAGTCATACTTATCTGCAATGGGATCTCTGTGCTCAGGCAAATACTTAACAGGGCACTTGGATTGAAATGGATAAAAATTGGAAATGACTTTAACCTTAAATAAACGTATCTATATGACCCCAAACGTAGCCAAGCAACATATTTTCTTCACAGTACAATGTCTCAGATTAAAATTATCAATTTTATTCAGCATCTAAATTGTGAGTAAATGACATCATTTACTTAACCCTATTGTTCTTTTCTCTTTTCCCAAAATTTCTCAACTGCAAGTGGCATCCAGGCTAAAATTTTCACTAATTGGGTTTACATAATCATAATTGAGTCAAATTATCCTCAAATACTTCAGTTATTTGGACTTTGAAAAATTGGGGCGTTTTCATCCAAGTGCAAATTTAAAAATCATTAATAGACCCTTGTTTCACTTGMGTGACCATGAAACAAAGCCCCCAATTGAGGTTGGAGTTGATAAAATACAGTAAATGTATAAACATGTCAAGTCCAACCTTGATTGCCATCATTGATTGTCAGTGAAGCGAGATCAGAAAGGTTTGATAATGAAACTGTATGGAAATGGCACTTTAGAAATTTATTATCAATAATCAACTGTTTTTGTTTATTTGCAGAATSTGTCAGGTGCACGTGCTCTGCGTCCAGAATCATTTGTCACTGCCATCAATTCCACACCCCAGTCTACATACATTAGTGCCGCTAATGGTAGAGTATTCAGGCCTATAAATGAGGTGACTGTATGATAACAGCTAAAGGACATTTGTGCATTGATATAAGGTAACTGTTGATATAGCATACTATATTCCGATATCCTTGTCTCATTCATATTGATAGCAAAAAAGCATAGAAGCTATATGTAAGACAACATGTAACGGTAACATTTATTTTCTTGAAATTTTGAATTTCATAATCATACAGTAGTGACCAATAGTTGAACAAGCTTGACAACCCCTAGTGCTTTTACAATTTTCTCRCAAATTACATTTTGCAAGCAATCAGAGTAAATCCTCATAAACATTTTTTGTGGGATGTCAGGATGTGAATTTTCTTATTTGCAATGGTGCAGTGATCTTTGGGAGAAGCAAAATGTTGCACTGAATAAAAACTACAGTTAACTCTCAGTGCAAATCTCGTTTTCCAAGTCATAAGGAATGCAAACTGCATAATTTCYTGTGCAATTTGTTTTGGACCATTAATGTTGTTGCTGCAAAATTTATATAATTTTGAATATTCATTTTTTATGATATTTTGTTTCTAATATTATCAGTCTTTATTAACCTAAAGTATTTTTATTTCTAGGGCTGTTATCCCATAACACCTGCATACATGCAGAAWCTACACCCAATCAAATCATCCTCACTTGTTGGGTAAACTGGCTTAACATGATAAGTGCACCACAATCTTTACTCTCTCTCAAAGTAACCYGAGTGTCTCAAATGATATGGCTTTTGTGTCCTCTGTACCTAAATTAAAGAAGAAGTTCACAACAACAACTTCACATCACCACTATCATTGAGTCACAAGGAAAAAGGAGAATTAGCATTTGATATGATGGGAGCATTAGCAATGRTTTCCTAGAAAATGTTGTCAAAGTGACAATACAGTACCTGAGGTGGTTGTTGTCATTGACAGTAGCCTAGGTGAAGGTAGCTATGGTTAATACTATTACTGATAGTTACCTTTGGAATAGTGATGGTTGCTTAGGTAAATGTCACTTTACATGGTGATGGCTAAGGTTGGTGAAACAAATATTTTAGTTACCTTGGTGATGGTTGTTTAGGTAATTATAACCTTGGTGATGGTAGCTAGRTTAATACTATTGCTGATGGTTGTCCTGGTAATAGAGATTATTGCTTATAGTGTTTGGGCAAACATAGTAACTTTAGGCAAGGTTGCATAGSTGATAGTTACCCAAGTGGTGAATGCTAAGAGTGGTGGAATGAAGATCATTGTAACCATGGTGATGGTTGTCTAGGTGATTGTTACCCAAGCGATGAACTAAGGTTGGTAAAGTGAAGATCATAATATTCTTGGTGATGGTTGCCTAGTTGATTGTGACTTTAGTGATGTTTGGTCATGGTGGTTTGGCAACATGATAGTTACTAGTTCAGGGCTCGAAATAGCAGCCTGCTAATGGCCAAATGACAKGCCAAATTTCAGGTTTGSCAGGCRAAAATAACAATGCATTSCCRARTGAWTAATAAAATGACATGCAAAATTTACTGGAATGACCTCCATTTACCATGCTCCTTTACTTTGGCAGGCTGAAAAAATTTCTATTTCAAGCCCTGTAGTTTCATAATTGAATGGGTACAATAGACCTTAATCGTCTTGGTGCAATAGTTTCCCATTACAGACCATGTGTCATTCCGTTAAAAAAGTTTCATTGTTTCCTGTTGTATCCATATACATCTGTCTTCCCATGCTCAAACTTTAAGCAAAGAAATAATACTCTAGGAAATGACACATGGCCTAAAATGGGAAAACATTGCACCAAGACAAATAAGGTCTATAGTTATGGAGGCTGAGGCAAAGATTTTAATAACGTTGTTGATGACAGAAGGCAGTGTCCTCTGGTTACTGACTTTTCTTGCATACAACTGTTCTCACAAGATGTGTCGTTGCATAACTAATGCTTTTCAAAAATTACTTGACACCAGGAGAATGAGCTTTTATCAGGTATTCTTAAATTAGTAAAGTAGAAAAAATAATTACCATAGCAGAAAAGAGCATGTTAAAATCAGCAAAACAGTGAACTTTGAAGGAAATAACTTCAACATATAATTTTTGAAAAGTGTGAATTTCGTAAGAAAACCTTTGCTGAAGGCAAGGGGTGCCTCCAGCAGAATCACTTGCATACAAAATTTCGATATTTGATAATTCGTATCTTTGCAATTTTTGAACTTCCTTCAAGCTTCACAGATTTACTAACATCCTTTCTGGCAATGGTACTATAATTTTTTTTCTGTTTTTCAAGTTTTGGAATTACAAGATAAAAGCTCATTGGCATAACACTATTTACAAGTTTATCCTTTTAGCACTCGTCAATCTTGTTATTTCTTGTTGTTGCTGATGTTGTTGGTGCCTGGAATTGTGGTGATGACAGTATTGATGTTTTCGTATACAAATTGTTTCATTAGTCTTTCTATATGTTTGCACTTCTATAAGTCAATAGTGTTTCTTCTCTCTGCTTCTTTACAGTTTTGATTAAGTCTGTATTTTAAGCTTTTGGGTCTTGCTGGATGCTCATGATATGAGAAGATTAAGCTCTTTCCATAGGTTGCTATCATGTCCAATCTCGTAGAATTCTTACCAGTTGAATGGCAAGTTTTCTGTTATGTACATGGATAGTTGAGCATGCCGAACAGTGTCTGCCCTTCACAAAAAGCTGTTAATGAGATTTATAATATATAACAATTATTTGCCAAAGCAAAATAATTATTGGTGAATATTTACCAAACTGCAAGTCTTCGAGCAACGAGATAGATATTCCCCATATTCACTTAGCCTGAGTTGAATAATCGTTTTAATTTAAAACTTGAAAATCAGAGAAAAGACGAAATTCAGGATAAAAAAACGTTTTAGTATTTTTCACTCTGGCAAACCGTTTGGCAAACTTCAATAAATCAAATATTCAATTCTAATATTATACTAATCATATTTATTCAGTTGATTGATACTGAACGACTGGGTCTCTTCCATGCGTTTTACGAAAATATTTSTCTCAGGTTATATACTACTCGCACTTTAATGTTTACTGAAATTTTCAATATTGTGCTAACTTGGCAGTTTCGACTTTTGGTTAGCATTTGATTTTGGGCTCCCTTTGATCAAAAGTGCAACTCGSAGACACAGAGTTCACGTGTTTTTGAAAAATGCAGTAATAATATATGTCTGTGCACGAGTTTCGAGAAGCTCTCACTAAAAAGTCTTGATGAGCAAAATCTTCTCATTCTTGATACCTTGCGCACTGACTGTTTTTCTGCCCATTTTAGCATGCGCTTGTAAAATTCTAAACACTTTCCCCATTTAGCAGAMAACTAGGACAATTTAAGMATATTTTRCAGTCGAGATATTCGATCGTATTTCGTACGGCTCGAAACTTAACAYTRCCATCCCCACGGGATAAACATATAYATGAGYTACGTWAACATTTCACTCGCACACTATTTGTCGTCAGAACTATCACGAAATAGAGGTTGCATGTGAATGTGGAAAAATGTGGTGCGGCCATAGCATAAGGCCATCTCTCCTTGAGCAAATACCTTTTTTGCGGGTTGTGATTGATTTGAAAGGCGGCCTTCGTACCGTGACCGTGCCGTGGCCCGTGCCCTAACTTTCCACGAACATTTCAAACTACCTTAAACACTCACAATGGTACAATCTGTACTCGATACACGACTGTTGCCATAACAATACAACTGTTATGTCATCCACTGGTCTCTTTAATCACAAATTGTAAATAGCMGCATTAATAATAGTAATGATCTGTAGATAGTGGTCGATATTATCCTCGACATACATATCTATATGTACATTGTACATTGTAAAGTTATTTTGTAAAAACTCTAACAAGCAATAAACTAATTAACYAATAAATTGAACTGCTCCTCGACGTGATAAGGTCCGCGGTTACTTKACGCACTCTGCGCACTTACCCGAAGATGTTTTTGCGAATATTTTAGATTTTCATTCGAATTATTTATTCACTCYCCGCTGCTCATCTAAAGATGGCTTTGCTTCGGACCAAAATAGGCTGTTGCGCACTTTAACTTGAAACCATACCTCTAGCAAGAAAAGTACTTTTTACTCRTCTCCTATGCCTTCTTACCATTTTTTTGACCCATCTCCGCCTCAGTGGCCGGAATATATGGCCGCGCACCACGCAAAGAGACTAAATAAAGCATGATTTTGAGCACATTAATTAACAACCAATAATATAGATTTTGTGACATGACGCGCGTTTTTGGACTACGGACATGGTGATTAAATTCGCTGACCAAGTCTGCACATTTTTCAAACAGTCCTACTTTTGTACTTTTGAAGTCAAGAACAATGCTAAATGTGCACATGTTTTATAAACAGTCGTACTGTTGGTATTTGAATCGAGATCTGTCGACCAAATTCTACACACAGTTTTAGAACTTAGGACCATGGTATTCGAGATTAAAGGAGACTTGCTAAATAAGCGCATTTCTTAAAGAACAGTATTTTTGGAACAATGACATTCTACACACAGTTTACAACTTGGGATCACAGTAATTTGACATCAAAGAAGACTTGCTAAATCCGCATATGCCTTAAACAGTAGTCGTAAGGTACTCGAATCAAGAACTGCTAAATTCTAGACTACACACGTTATATTACTACAAGACCATGGTTGAGACAACAAATTTACTGTTGAGATAATCAAGCATGATTAAGTTCGTGCATACACATTTTAGCTTTTAGTCGAAGGTCCTCGACGCTATRAGGGGTCTGTACTAGCCCCCTGGCAGGAAACAGAGCTGAGGATTCCATTCGACCACCAATGCAACTGCTGTAATGTRCAGTACGCTGACCTCCATTGAGCGCCTCACATTTGGAATGRGTTGTCGTCTGGGGAGCTCCACCCTTTGCACAGCACATACATGAGTACAGTTGACCAGCGTTTTGAACCTTYTGATACCCGGAACAGAAGTATCTTGRAGCATAGTAYCTCGCATCAGCTTGGTATTCCGCTGGGTAGCCACTTGTCGTGCGGAAATACGAGTACGGGTGAGTGTATCTTGGCGCACGTTGATAGCAACCACACGACTCTGTGGGCACAGCCTCGAAAGGTTGGCAGTTACAGAGGAATTCAGTCTTATCAGAGCCAAATACTTGCCCTTCTATCCGACCCTGGGAAGCTAAATACTGCATGCCAAATGAGGGGTGCTTGTTTTTGCGTTCGTGTTTACGCCACTTTGCACGTCTGTTCTGGAACCACACCTAAAACGCAAAACAAGATATAGTCAAACCAAGAAAGAAACTAAATCTCGCTTTTAAAGAATCTTAATCTGATTTATTTTGAAATTTTGAGGATCAAACCAATATTACCTGGACTTTTGGCTCTGTAAGATCAACTATCCTGGCCAACTCTTCTCGGGTAAATATATCAGGGTACTGCTCTGCCTGGAAACTAGTCTCTAGTTTCACYAACTGGTAGTTACTGAACGTAGTCCTAGGACGACGCGACTTCCTTTCCTTTTTAGTCGAGCATCCATCTCTCTCTGGATTATCTGTAGTAGGGTCGCTGTCATCATCATCATCCTCATCATCTTGGCTGCTATCATTGTATTTTTTCTCTGAATCGACTTGAAACTGTGTGTTGACATCTGCACCTGGGGAACCTGATCAATGAAAGCCTTGGATGAACGCTAGTATGTGAATTTTATTTAGCGACGTCCATTAATTACGAAAAAAAAAATGAGCTAAAAATACATAGATTAGAAAACGAYGAGGAATAGCAAGAGTGCACTATAAAATTCGAGAGCATGAAAACCACCATCTTACGGATAAGATATGATATATAGTGCAAAAGAATTAAAWACGTATATGATACTTTAGATAAACTTTCTTGTACCGATCAAGTTCTCCTTGTTATCTGTCGCTTCAACTTTCGTTTGACCTCGGGACATCAGCGGCGTTTCCCAGAATGTTTTCTGTAACTTTGAAGCCTTGTGAAAGAGCTTGTCGTCCGCTTGAGATCTTTCCATGTCTCCTTCAGGTCCCGCAAAACGATCCGCAAGAGCATGGCCAAGCGAAGAGCTTTAAATGTCGTTCGTTCGTGAGAAAACAACACAAAGCTTTTCAGTTTTCACGCCATTTGCTTGAGTTGAAAAGGTTCTTTCACGAAACCATTTTAAAACTTTATTTTCAATTAGCTTGTGACTAATGAGAAGATGTGATTGAGATCTTTRAACAAAGGTGAGAGAATTACCAAAGGGACTTCTTAATCTGTACTATTATTGGCTTGGTCATCTCTTTTGCTATTTAATATCACGATAAAACATTGCATAATGAATTCAATTAATCATGGTTGTTTTTTTTTATTTCCACCATAAATTCAAGCATGACTGATTTTTTATCTTCTTCATTGTCAATGATTTGTTCACGTCATYGCTGTGCGCTAAGTTCACTGAAAGCGTATGATCTCACAGTAAAGCGGGGATGCCAAACCCATTTCCCACCCAATTWTTTTTACAAATCCCACTTTCCGTTGTCCAAATTGTTTTTCCCCATTCCCAATGTTGTAAATCCCATTTTTCTCAGAGCAAAATAGGCAAATCCCAGTTATCATTTTACCCATTCAGGCTGCCAAAAATTAATTTCTTTTCAGAACAGTCAAAACAACAAACAGCCCAATTTCCCCTAGTCTCCCCCACAGCCGCTTTCAGTGTCGTCACGCAACGCTTTAGAAAGAGAGACTAAATTTCCCCCAGTAAGGTTCTAATTGGTCTTCGATCGGAACACGAGCGGAATTTCGAGCGAGCCCCGAAAGAAGAAACTTTGTACGCTCGGAACTTTGCGCCTCGTGGTTTACGAAGAAGCGTTGTTTTGGGTCAGCGAATATTATGGGATCAAACTAGACGCGGCTAAAACCTCACTGAAAACAGTCAGAAAGATTTAAAACAGTCAGAATTCATTTTGCCGTGCTCCCTTGCTCTGGCCGCACCATTTTTTGTAGGCAAATGGATGTTGGGTTTCATACCTGTGTGTGTTTCGAAGCTTMTTGTTACCATGGTTACGTCAACGTTGACTTGCTGAGCATAATATATATTTAAAATCACGCCATAAAGCTGTGTTTTTTTAAAAGAAAATGAAATTTAGGAGCAACATTTACTCAAAAATAATAATATAAATAATGTAATGGGTTATCCTGCCCTTAAGCATAGTATAGCTCAGTATAGCTCAAAAAGCCGTTGTATAAATCGAACACACGTCGTCTGACACCGCGGTGCTTTTYCCCCGCAATACAGCCGTATCTTTAATGGCCAAATTGAACATTAACCTTCAAAACCAGTTACTTCATGAAAAGGAGTTTGTACAACAAATTATATACACTTTTGCTATACAAGCTTATATCAATAGGTAGCGTGGCCGAGTGGTCTAAGGCGCTGGTTTTAGGCACCAGTCTCGAAAGAGGCGTGGGTTCGAATCCCACCGCTGCCATATGATATTTTTTTTACGATTTAATTTTTCTACTATGCGATTTTATCCTTTCTTTTGTATRAAATTCAAATCTTTTAAAAACAACACCTATTCCATGAGAAATTCCCAAAAAATATCTGTAAAATTGTATGTTTTACGTATCAAAAATACAGTATTTTCTTTTAGTTTTTCCTTTTTATTAATTTTCCATTTCAACATCATTTTCTTCTTCATTTGGCTCACTTAAATTCCCTTCTTCCTCATCAACATCTTCTTTCTTTTCAGATGGTAATTTTGCAACAATATCTAATAGTTCTTGTATCTCTGTTTCAGTCTTTAATCTTTCTTCAGTTTCTTCAATAATCTGGAATAATGAATAATGATATTATGAATTAAATTCTGCCAACTATAGTATCGAGCAAATGAATTTATGTATTTACCAGTTGTATTTCTACAGGAGTTTCAGGCCTTAGGTTCAGCAACTGTAGTTTCTCTGCTCTAAAGAAGKATAATTAATTTTAATAAATCATTCATCATCTTTATCTATCTTGTCATCAGCATCAGCGTCTTCAGCCATAACCATCACATTGTAGTATCACTTCATTCAAATGTATTTCATTGTCATCATCATCATCACTCTCATCATCAGCCATCATAATCAATATTCCATCATCATCTGAATCAAATCTATTTCATTGTCATCATCATCACTCCAATCAGCCATTCCCATTGTATTGCATCATCATTGATTCACATACATGTATGTCATTGTCATTGCCATCATCATTATCATTCTACTATCAGTCATCATCATGTCATTTCGTCATCATCATCATGAGCCATTAACAGTATTTCATTGTCATCATCATTTAATATTATCATGCATGTTTTCACTTACTTCGTTAAATTAAATGATGCAACATCTCTTAAAAAMTTTTCTATGACTTCTTGGTTCTAATTTTAAAAGAAAAAATCTTTTACAAAAACTATAGGATTAAGCTGATGGAAAAAAAAAAATCACAGTCAGTATTATCACTTTGGTCTTCAATATATCAATGCATGATATAAATTCAAAGAATATGAAAATAAATTATTCAAAGAAACTAAATATGCAAAACGTTTTACCTGGTATTTACTTGGTGTCTTTTCAAGGTATTTTCTGGCCTGTGTTAATAATAATTTARAAAGAGCCGATGTCTCAAAACAATTGTGTTTCATGTCATAAAATGAAAGCCAGTAGAGTTTAGAAGTTAAAMTTGATTTTGATATTTATTTACCTCATATGAAATTGTTGCCAGATTGACTTGATGCTTTTTGGAACTCTTTGATTTGGAGCTGGTTTTGTTTTCTGTTTCTTGTAATAACTGGTAGACCTTAAACATGGAGAAAGAAAGAATTTGAATAAATGTGACATAAAAATTCATTGCATCAGTCATTTCCAACCTCAGTCCCCTCCCCCTCCCCTGGTTATGACCAGGGCAATTACTTTTGATGCCAGTGGAAGGTTGAGAAGGCCTTATGTCAATAAGAAGAATGTAAGTGAATCCATCCCCATAAAGAAATTTATAAAAAAGGGTGAATGATTAATCATCAGCCAATGATTCTCTAGCTGTCGTTGTAAAGTTGGAAAGGAGTGCATCTCCTTTTTACCTGAGCCGCCAGGAGTGGGGAGGGGGCAGGAGGATGGATAAGCTTAACATTTTCTTAACATTTTTGTATTTTTAATGAAACCTTGAATTTACTGGACATTTGTTAGTAGTTGGTGAAAGGGCATCTCTTTGCATATCAAAGAAATGAAATATTCAAAAGTCGTAATGATATATAAGAAAGTCTTAACATATCTTACCTCGTAGTTACTGAGCATAGCGGYCTTGTCGTTCAACCTGTCAACCACCGGCATCAATAAATTCATTACCAAAATTGAACAAAATGCCAAGCAAAACACTGATATTACCAACAGTACTTACACTTCCATGGTTTTTATTTCATTTCTTTCATTTCTCAAATCAATTTCAACACTTTGGAAGAGTTTCTTTCTTTTTCCTCAGAAAGCCGAGGAATCAGGATGCATTGTGGGTGAATGTTGGGATACCTGTG